AGTGATGAGATCTGACATTTTTGTCTTTTTCTTGATGTTTCACCATTTCTTGATGATCACCATTAAGGATGATGTCAGGCTGTAGGCTTTTTGTAGATGCTCTTTATCAAGTAGAGGACGTTCACTTCTACTCCTATATAGCTGAGAATATTTATGAGGATTGCATCTTGGATTTGTAAAATGCTTTCCGTGCATCTCTTGGGATGATCTTCTAGTTTTTATTTTCAAGGTTGTTAATATGGTAAATTGCATTGATTGATTTTTGCCAATTTTTTTATTGTGGTAAAACACACATAACATAAAATTTACCATCTTGACCATTTTTAAGTGAACAGTTCGGTGGTATTAAATATACTCATAATGCTGTGCAACCATCACCACTATCCATCTCCAGGACTCTTTTATCTTGTAAAACTGAACTCTATAACCATTAAACAATAACTCCCCATTTCCCGTATCCCCAACCCTTGGCAGCCAACATTCTACTTTCTGTCTGTACAATTCTGAGTACTCTAAGTACCTTATATAAGTTGGATCATACAGTATTTTTCTTTTTGTGACTTGCTTATTTCACTTAGCATATTATCCTCAAGGTTGACATGTTACAGTATATGTCAGACTTTCCTTCCTTTTTAAGGCTGAACAATATTCCATTGTGTGTGTGGTATACATATACCACATTTTGCTTACATGTTTATACATCGATGAACACTTGGGTTGCTTCCACATTTTAGCTATTGTGAATAATGCTGCCATGAACATGGGTATACGAATATCTCTTTGAGACCTTGCTTTCGATTGTTTTGGTATATACTGAGAAGTGGAATTGCTGGATCTTATGGTTAATTCTATTTTTAATTTCTTGAGGAACTGCCATCCTGTTTTCCACAGCAGCTGTACCATTTTACATCCCCATCAACAGTACACAAGTATTCCAATTTCTCTCCACCCTCACCAACACTTGTTATTTTCTGTTTTTTGATAATAGCCATTCTAATGAGTATAAGATGGCATTTCATAGTTTTGATTTGCATTTCCCTAATGATTAGTAATGTTGAGCAACTTTTCATGTGCTTATGGTCATTTGTATATTTTCTTTGGAAAAATGTCTATTCAAGTCCTTTGCCCATTTTTAAGAAATGATTAAATATAAAATCATATAATTTTCCAGCTTTCCCTCTTTCTACTTCCCATCCTACTCGCCAGCCATGCTCTATTCATTGCAGTTCTCAAATGTGTTATGCTGTTTCATCCTTTCTTCTCCAGTTCCATCTAACCTGGAATTCTAAACCCTGTCTCCCCTTCTGCCCACTGTCATTTCCCTAATACATACTGCTCACTTTTCAACACCCAGTTCAAAGACATTTCTTTAATAAAACGTTTTCTAACCATCTCCACTTCCTTCCTGTCCTCCTTTTTCCATTGTAACACATATAACAATTTATCATATCTATTCATTCTTGTGATGTATCTTAATTATCCATGCATTTTCAGCACCTGTACCTTGGCACAGGGTAGGCACTGAGTAAATGTTTGAAGGAACTAGCGAACACCATTTAAGGGACACATCTATTCTTAAATGAGATATAGGAGTATATTTTAAATTTGTATAAATTTGTTTGGAATTGATAAACATTTTTCTTTAGTAGCTATTATATAGTTCTTGGATGCACAAAGGACACAGACAAAACTTTGACATTGAGACAGTTGAACTTCAACCTTTCCCACTTCAGTCACTGCTCTTCCTCCTGTCCCATATCCTCTCCCTTTCTAGAACCCAGAGTCCTCAGCCCACATATCAGAAATCCAAGGACTTACTTTGTCATCAAAGAGTTCAGTGCTCCAAATGAGGATCCCATTCAGTTCCCTTCATCAAAGCTTCTTCTAATGAATCTCAGTTTAGATGCTGAGATTAAGAAATCTGATTTCATAATTCTCACAAGCACAGGAATGACAGAAGACACTGCCTGATATTCTTCTCTGAAGTATTTTGAAATTGGCATACTGATCAACTCAAGTGAATTTTACATTGTAGGATTTTAAGCTGGATCGGATAAGTTAGTAAAACAGTCCAGCTCGTGGAAGAACGGTATTTTGGTACAGAAGAAACAAGCCTGGATAATTCAGCCAAGAGACTCCCTCTGCCAACTGTCCCCAGGACTATATGGGGACAGGCCACTTTTCCCCCTTTTTCCAGAGAAGTATTCAGGCATTTAAAACTTTTTTACACAGGGAGAAACTGATGCTCAAAGAGGTCAAGTCTCCAACGCCACCCAGAGAATAAGTGACACAAGTGAGACAGAAATTCAGCTCCAACTCGAAGCATCTATTGGTCTTTCTAGCACATTACATATGCGCTGAAGACATTTATTTCCTCCTCTTCTTGGCTGCTGCAGCCACAGACGCCTTGAAAATCTTTTCTACAAGAAGTCCTCTAACCACCTCAGAGGCCCTGCCTCCACCACAGCTGCACTAAGGGTGACAGTCCCAGAAGAAAGCCCTCTGTGCTGGCACAGTGTGGGGAGGGGATATGAGAGAACGTGCTTACTTGCAACATGATATAGGAACTATTGGGCTGGTCTATTGGCAGTGCACACAAAGAGATGTATGTGTACAACCCTGGCTTTTCATTCAACCAATTTTCCATGGAAAGAGTAAAATATCATTGGATTTTATTTTTAAACAAGTTTTTACAAATTTACTGTCTTATAATACTGATTCTGTGAAGGGGAAAAAACATCCAAGATTCATATCACTGATTTCTAAAGAACTTATGGAACAGATCTGTTAGGAAGATGGGGATTCAACTTTTCCCATGCTTCCTTTCCTCCCTTCTTACCCCCCGCCCCCATATTTCAAATGATCTACTGTTACACACCTTGTCATGACCATAATATTCTCAGTGACTAAATGAGCACTCTAAATTGACTAAAAGTTTTAAATAGGTATTTTGCAAGTTATATATATGGCTGTAAAGCCTTTGATTTCGTCTAAAGACCAGGCTGTAATTATTTTAGAACTCTGTGGATCTGATTTTATTATAATGTCATTAGAGACCATAGGGAACTCAGTATAGGTATACTTTTAGGTGCTTCTTCGGTCTTTGCAAAAAATGGACTTAGATAAACTGTTGACTTAAGGTAACAGAAGGAAAATAAGACAGAAACATGGTTTCCTAGCTTTAAACTCCCTTTTGCTTGCAGTAAGGTGAACAAATGATAAATATTAAACCAAGTTTTGCTGAGGAATGGGGATTTTAGTATAAAAGATGAGAGGGACACAGGTCAAGAAAGGGAAAGAAGGAAGACAGAACAACATGGAGAAGATCTCAATGAAACCTAACAGTCCCCTGTAGAAGTGACCGTGTCTTCCTCTGTCCCTTCACTGTAGCTAGTACATACATCTGTCATGATACCTCTAACAGATGTTTAACTCTCAGCCTTCCTTATAAGACTGTGAGCCTTTGAAAGCAGGAATGGTTCCTGAAGGAGGATAGAGGGGAAGAAATGTCTGTAGGTTGTTTGATACAAAAGTATGAATATTAGAGAAGAGGTTTGGGCAGGAAATATAGATTTCAGGATGATAACACCCCAGGAGAGCATATGGAGTGAGAAAAGTAACACACAATGGACACTGTCACAGGCACACAGTGAAGGGGATTGTCTTGGAGACAAGTAGACTCAGAGGAGATCAAGGAGGGGAGATTACATAACAGAGGTCCAGGAAAGTGAGAACCGAAGACAGTTCGCTGAATCCACCAATACTGAGGTTATCTGTGGGTTTTGCTAGAATAGTCTCAGTGGAGAGAGCTGAAGCCACTTTGCACTGTGGTGGGAAAGATGGAAGATGAAGAAGTGCAGAAAACAAGTGTAGACCCCTCTTTCAAGTAGCTTGGCCAAGAGAGGGGATTGCTAATAGAAGACACAGGATTAGAAAAATTATTTTTTAAGGATAAGAGAAGACTAACCAAGTTTTTAGCTTGAAAGAAAAGAGTTGATAGAGAGGGATCAGGGGAAGATTCAGTAGAAAGTGGAGAAAATAATGGAGAAAAATCACGGACTAGAAAGGGAGAGGATGGTATCAGAGACCCTGTCATGAACAGGCACCTACAAGTAAGGAGTGGCTTGGTAGGGATGCTATTAATAGCTAGAGACGGGTATGTTGAGGGAGTTTAATGATGGAGGTGATATACACTTCTGAGGGAGTGAGGGGGTCAAAGGAGAGTGGGGGAAGACTCACATAGTTGCTGAGAAGCATTAATCCAACTAGTAAAAAGACCTTGGAACAGAGCTGAGGGCAAATTGGGATTGGAGTTCATGCATGAGCAGCGGCACCAATGCACCCTGTACATTCTCATAGATCAACGGGTACACAATTCCACAAAGAAGGAACTTCACATTTCAATACTTGCTTCCCTCTTATCTTCAAGAGCTTATGTCCTTGAGCAGTGTATCCTAGCCATTTCATTTTACGTGATAATTGTGTTCTTCCTTCACCTCTTCTCTTCTTCCTCACCTCTCTCCTGCTCTGCAACATGAATGTATTTTCCCTCTCTTTGTTATTCTTTGTTAGCTCGCGTCATTAAGGAAAAAGAAAACCATCTAAGTGAATCTGCTGTTTCAGATGCCATCCTGTGAGGGAGTTTAGGTTCCTGGGTTAGCAGTAGAAAGGGGCTTCAGAACAGTGTCCCTCAAGAGGTTTGTTTTTATTTTCAGGGGGCCGACCTGGCTCTGAAATTCTCCAAGTCTTCAAACTCTGTATTCCTGCGTGTCTCTTCAGTCAAGAATGAATTTCAGAAGTTGACTGTGTAACATTCTGCCTTTGCAGTGGCTAAACAATTGTTTGTCATAGCCGTGAACAGTTGAGGTGACTTTCTATTTTAGAGCTCTACTCATTCATTAATAGGTGCATTATGCAAACGTGGATACATTGCATCACTGTGAAGGACTTCAGACTGCGGTTTGCAAAAGCAGAATAAATTTTCTTGGGGTTGTACCGTTATGTACACACACACACACACACACACACACACACACACGCCCATTGGCAGACACGGCCACACCTCACAGCCCTGGGGGAAGCCACAGAGCTCAGCCGTACAAGCTGAGCCTAGACTAGAGGAACTTTCCGCAGTACTGAGGACAAACAGCCCCGCGGCCACGACGGTCTGCCAGCCTGAGGCTCAGGCGGGCGCCGGCGGCAGCAGGTACGCGGTGCGCACCCGCGTCGGGGCCTGGGCGGTGCGGTGGCGGCGGGAGGGTCCCGCGAGCTGCAGAAGTCGGTGCCAGTGTGCGCGCGCCGACCGGCCTGAGCGAGCCGCATCCCCGGGCCGCCCCTGGCAGCCTCCTCGCCCCCGGTGAGCCGCCGCCGCCCCTCCCTGCCGGCCTCGGGCGCCCTCGGGCAGTCCCCGCCGCCCGCCCCAGCCCGGAACATGGCTGCGCGCCCCGCCGCCACCCTCGCCTGGTCGCTGCTGCTGCTCTCCTCGGCCCTGCTCCGCGGCGGCTGCCGGGCGCGCTTTGCCGCCGAGCCGGACTCGGAGGACGACGAAGAGGAGGCGGTGGTTTTCCCCGAGTCGCCGCTGCAGAGACCCACGGTGCTGGTGGCCGTCCTCGCCCGCAACGCTGCGCACACGCTGCCACACTTCCTCGGCTGCCTGGAGCGGCTGGACTACCCCAAGAGCAGGATGGCCATCTGGTGAGCGGGCGGGGGCCCCGTGCGGCCGCGGCGGGAGGCGGGGGCGGCCGCTGTAGGGCGAGGGGACCGCCGAGGGCACGCGGAGACCTGGCGCGCGCACTCCTCGCCGCCTGCAGGAGTCCTGGGCGGAGCAGGCGGTCGGGCTGGGGAAGGACGCGCGGCTCCGTGCGCGCGTGGGGTGCTAATGGGGATAACCAGCCCACCCGAGCTCGTGCGGGTGGCGTGGGCATTAGGTGGCATTGTTCCTCCTTACTCCCGCCACAGGCGGCCTGGGGAGACCCCTCAAGAGGGCTTTCAACGCTCTTCCTTTCAACTCTCAAGGTTTTCTCTTTCCCCATCTCATACCCCTAGCCCTGAAGTGACGGGATAGAGTGCCTTTCGCCGTCTTCCCCTCCAAACGCGACGTATGGAACGTAACTGCGCTGGCAAGGGGGCGTAGGGGCGCGCAGTGGTCGGGGTGGCGTGGAGTGCGCCGCTCTGACTTCCCGGAGCCTGGCTTCTGCTCCCACCTCAGAGGCTGGAAATGTGGCTCCTCGTTCTGCAGGGGGGCCTGGACCCAGGGATGGAGATTGGGCGGGGCCCGCGGAGTCTCCCCAGGTACGCCACCAGCGTGGGTCCCGGCTCCTCCGAGCGCTCCAGGCTGCCCGCCTGTGCATCCTCCTGGGGCGCATTCCCCGCCGCAGATGCAAACCGCGCGGGGCGCCTTGGGGTACTGCGTCCTGGGGAGCGACGGAGCCGCCCTCGGAAAGATAAACAGTCAAGTCTGGTCCTCAGAAGAAAGACCTCTGGGCCTGGGGAGAGGCCCAGGGGATCAGTGGGGGTGGCTGCCCGCCCCACCTGGAGAACGCGGTCCAGTCTCGCACCTTTTATAAACGCAAGTGTCAGTGGCAGACGAAGTTGGCGGCCAGGCGAGCTGTTCAGGGGCCTGTGGAGGGTAAGGTGGATGCTGGCCAGGGGAGACGGGCTGCCAGGTCCCCGGAGGAAGACAGAGCCCCGTCTCTCTGGAGCACTTTCCATTTTGTGTCGATAAAGGGAGCTGTTCTCAGACGAGACACATCCTTAGAGCAGCGGTGGAGAGCAGGAGTGAACGCAGCAGCTGGAATTGGCAGCCTTAGGGTACCTGCAGGGAGAGGTTCCGAGGTGTGAAAGCGAACATGCGGTATAGTACCGCGCTGTGCTACTACTTTCCTTGACTGCCTCCACGGAGAAGGGCACATTATGTGGAAAGTGGGAGCGTTGGTACAGCCAGGTTTTAAACCAGAAGGAAGGATTTCTTTTTTTAACCACTTCAATACCAAAAAAAAAAAAAAATATTCACAAATGTCAGTTCTCTTAGTTGCTTTTTTCAAAAGCGATGTCTTACAATATGGTCCTGGCCTTTATGCACTATTTAGTTTTTAAGAACATTACAATATTTACCGTAAGAAGTTAGCGAGGGGTGAAACAGGTACCAAGCTTTGCTACCTAATTTACACACATTACCTCCTTTATCACACAGTAAACTTTTCAGAGGAGTGCTTTGATCCTTATTTTATGAACGAAGAAACTGAGGCTTGGGTCATTTCAATAATTCACTTAAAGTCACAGAATTAATAAATGGCAAAATTGGAATTTGAACCCAAGTTTGTCCCTAAAGATTGCCCTAAAAAGGTAGTGGTAATGGGAATATGACATAAATAAAACTTATATTAACCTATAAACTACAAATTAGGAATCTTGAGTTATTTATCACTAGCTTGATGGGTGATTTGGGGCTGGTTGCTTGGGATTGATAGGCATCAGTTTCCTCATCAATAAAATGAGGGAATTGGAATAAATTACTTCAAAAATTCTTTCTGGCTCTTGAATTTCGTATATTTTATGATATGATTAGGATCAACCAGCATCAATGTACATCCTAAATTCCCTGGATTTTCCAGATTATATGGACATTGGTGTTCTATTTATTAATATTTAGATGGGTAGGTTTCCAATTCAGAATAGACTTTTGGAATTTATTTTCCTTTATGGCCAGTGTTGGAAAATTAAAGAAGAATCTCAAGGGCCTTTGGCAACTTTCGAATCAGTCACTGAAGATTCTTTTTTGAAAAATATTGGTTATGTCTTAGAAACTCTGTATAATTCATTAGGTTATTATTAGGTATTGTTATTATACAAACGCTAGTTTCTAAATAGTACTTTACAGCTCTCAAAGTATTTTCATCAACTGTGTTCTCATTTGATCCTTACTGCCATTTTGTGAAGAAATAAAATTATCTCTATTTCACAGAAGAAGAAATTGTGTCTAAAGTAATTGACTTACTCAAGATTACATTTATTTATTAATTCCACAAATACTTCATAAGAGCTCATGGTTCTTCTAAGAACTTTACATTCATTTTCTGGTTTAATCTCCATAATGACTCTATCAGGTATATACTATTATTTTACCCTTTTACAGATGGGAGAACTGAGGCACAAAGAGGTTGTACAAGCACACGCTCCTAATAACCTTTTTTTGTAAGAACCAGTCAAGTTAGGGATGAAAAAAGTTTAGTAAGATGTGGTTCCTTATAGACAAATATGGCTCCTTTTGCTGGGCAGTGTGAGGTGATCTGAATAGCATTCAAAGCGTTTGGGGGAGAACCAAAGGATTTTAAATCAGTTGTGTGGTCATGGAAGACTTCTTGAGGAGTTAACACTGATTTTGAACTGAGATTTGAAGGATGAATAGAAATCAATTAAAACTTGGGAAAGGAACATTCCAGAAATAGGGCACAGCAAGGCAAAATATAGTACTGGGGCATCAACCAGAGTTTCCTCTCAAGAGAGTTAAAGCGAGTGACAGATCTAATGATTTCAAGTCTCCAATTGTACTATACCATAGGGTCTCTCCAGAAATAGTGACTTCTAGACTAGCACTAGGGGAATATTTGCCTGAGACAGTTATGGGATATAACCCTCCAAGGGAGGCAGTACCTCCATTTAGGATGTTATAGTTTGAGGGGTTTCTGCCAATTGCTTACCTCTAGTTTCTCATTCCCAAGCTCTATTTAACATTGTGAGATGCTAAACCGACTAGAATCCACTCTGCAAAGCCAGCACATGCCAGTGTCAAAAATTGCAGAGAGCTATCAGAACTTTACAGAACTGTGTTGAATACAGAGCCTGGGGTGCCAGCTTCCTTTGAATCTGATCTTAGTAACTCACTCTGTGCGGATACCCTCTTCTCATTCGTCCACTTACCTCTCCGAAGGGCTGGAGGAGTGCCTGATAAGACTTCTCTTCGAGATGGGTCATTGAGGGGCCTGGCTCATTGATTACATTCAGACTTCCCTATGATAACGATATTTTTTCTTACCCAGAGTTCTGGACCAGTTCTGCACTGCACATATAAATGAAATGAGTACCAACAAACTGACCTGAAAGATTCTGCTAGCAGAGAACGTCTGCACTTAGTTAGCATCAAGCTTATTCAGATTAGGATGAAGAAAGGAAAATTTATATTTTAGAGATACGTTATACCAGCAAAAAGGAAAACTTTTTACATTTACCGGTCTGATCTCAAAATCCACCAAACTAATTGTTTTCTTTCAAATGTTGCAACTCCGTGATAAGGAAGATATTCCTTGTGCCATAATTAAAACCAGCACGAAGTTGATGAGAATCAGCGTTGTACTGAGATGAAGGAACTGTGAAGTGTTGTGACATGTGGCAGTGTACTTGAGTAGGTTCTCTTTAATTCAGTGGAGCCATGAGCAAGTGGCCTTAGCAATAGAGAGAAGGCTGACCTCATCCCCCTTCCCAAACCTATGATTAAGGGTAGTGGGGCCAAGTACCAGGATAGTGAAAACTGGAGCATGGCATGGGGAAAAACATTTGGTCCAAAGGAGACATTAAGATTGTCTTTTGGAGAGCCTGCTGTTGCTTGTGGAAAGACAGTTGGGATTCACAGAGTCTGTACAGGCACAAGGCAGTATCTGCTATGTAATTACAGAATGATTTGAGTATTTCACTTGGTAGAGTTTTAAAAAGTAATATGCCAAACTGGGAACCATTTTATGGATTTTTAAAGAAAGACGTGAGTTTAGTTGATGCAAACATAAACAATGATGAGCTTCTACTGGTTCTGAGTTCCTGGTCCTAACATTTTGCACCCTACTTTATTTCTGCATTATTTGAGGGTTATCTTGAATTTATCTCCACATTCTAATGCCCAACCAGTAGCATGTTGGTGAATGTTTAACTAGATACGCTCATATACATGTTTTTATAAGATGTTCCTAAAATGTGATAACCAATGATAGTTTTTAGCACCAGTGGTGAGAATGGTGTCATATTGATATGTTATCATTACAATCTTGACATTAAATGCTGTACATTGTCCCTATAGACAGAAGTTTCAGCTTATGGCTGAAAAAGTAGATAATACTTTAGTCCTCTTTTTTCCATTAGTCTGTTTTCCTCACCTTTCTCCTCCTTTTCCTTATTTTTCCCAACCTGGTAGTTTAGTACAGAGAAAGAGTATGCGAGTCACATGGACTAGGGCACAAATCTGTGTGATCATGAGCACATTAGTGAACCTCTAAGACAGCTTCCTCATCAGAAAATGACTAGTAATAACAGCTACCTCAAAGGGTTGTTGTCACAAATGAGGTAATGTATATACAATGTCTTTTACATAAATGATAGTTGCTATATCCTATCAATCTTTTCCTTTCCGTCCCATCTCCTTTACCTTTCTCAAAATATTTTTTTAAAATGTTCACAAAGAACTCAATTTAATTTCTTCTTTCCAACAAAAAATTATCAACGTAATGAAAACTAACATTTACGGAGGCACTTTTCCAAACACTTCGGTATAACTGATTCACTCCAGACAAAAACCCTAGGTGGAAGTGCCCCTAAATTTCACTCTCACTTTGCGCAGGAGGAAACTGAGGAACAGAGAATGTAAATAATTTGCCTGGGGTCACGAAGCTAGTGCATGGTGGAGCCAGAATATGACCTAGGCAGCTAAT